AAAAAAAAAAAAAAAAAAAAAAAAAAAAAAAAAAAAAAAAAAAAAAAAAAAAAAAAAAAAAAAAAAAGGAACAAAACAACAAAATCCCTCATGCTAAGCTTTTATCCAAAATGTTCTCCCAGCACTGAACCGGTCACCGCTTAACTTTAACCTGAACTGTGGCCCAGGAAATCCTTCAATATAAATAACCTTGGAAGCTGCCATGACCATTTTTGGAACGTGCTGCCTCAATAAATCTGTTACTTTGTTGTGCAATGTTGAAGTGTGCAGTTGTTTCTCTGATTAATTAGGGCAAAAAATAAACTTGCAGGATCAATCCAAGCTGTGACACGTTTCAGCCCTGGCTTGAACATGTGGGCAGAAAAGAGCCTTGGAGCCTTCTCGACAGACCTGCCCTGGAATTTTGGGACGCTTTGCTGGCTTGCAGTTTACTCCATTTAGTGAGATAAGGTGGCTGCTAACAAAGTCTGCAAGGGAAGAGTTTTGGTCTGTCCCAGGACTGCCATGCTAGGTTAGTGACAAATTATTCATCTTGGCCACTGACCCCGCTAAAGACAACATAACTGAAGTGTTTTATGTAATTGTGTTTATTTTATTTCACATATTACCCATGGAGAACAGCTGATACATTCTCTATATCTTTCACCAGTCTGGAATGCAAGATAAAAAAAGGCATGGAAAAGGAGTTTAATGTTTGACATTCATGATATGAAAAACAGAGGGGATACAATGTTTTAAAATGCCCTAATGCAATATATATATATAAAACGTATAAAAATATATTTTTCCAAAAGAAAAAAAGAAGACATGACACAGAACAATCTTAAATACCGATGCATATCTCGTGATCCACACACACCGCACTTATAATTAACAAAAACCACGTACAATTGCACTTTTCCTCTCTGTGACGTTCAAGTATATCGCAGTCCCCGGAGGGACTAGCGAGTGTCCGATTCCCTGCCGGGTGCACATAACGCAGAGGGTAGAGCAGATGTGGGCGGGCTGTCCTTGCGCATGGCTGACGCGCGCCCTCCAACCCTCGGGGGCAGAGGGCGAGGCCGGGGCCCGTCGCCCACTGGCGGGTCCCCTCCTGAGCATCCCCTCCTCGGGGCAGCGGGGCGCGGGCGGGAGGCGAGGACCGCCCGGCCCCCCGGGTGCAGCGGCGGCGCCTTTGCGTCCCGGGCGGCGGTGGCTGCTGGAGTAGGCGGTGCCCGGCCCGGGGAGGGCAAGAGTCCGTGGTGGGCGGGGGGCGCAGCATCCGCTGCCCTTCTCACCTCCCCCGCGGAGGGCGCGCCGGGGTCCCGCCCGTGCGGGCGCACTCCGCGAATCCTGGCGGATCTCAGCCCGTGCCTCAGTCCATCCATCGAGGCGGCCTCGGCCGGGTCTTGCGGCGCTCAGACTCCGAAGAAGGGGGCGAGGAGCTGCTCGCTGCGCGTCCGTGGGCTCCGCCCGGAGCGGGGAGAGCGCGCTGGGCTGCGGCGCTCGGGCAGGGAACGCCGCCGACGGCCGTAGCCCTGGGGGCTGATCTTATTGGGGGGAGCGGCATCGTTCCTATCGTTGACGGCCGCCCTGTGGAGCTCGTCGACCAGCCAATGCAGGGTGCACGTCCCGAGGCGGCAAGCCGAGCGGTTGGTTTGGAAGTGGGGGAATCTGTTAATGCTCTGGCGGTAGCGCTTGACGCGGATGTGAGCATCCTCCCGGCTGCTGGAAGGCAAGAAGAGAGAGCGGGCATGAGAACAGCGCAGCGGGGGCCCGGAGGAGGGGACCCGGTGGGCTTGGGAAGGGGAGGGCAGGGAGCCCTCAGGCTCGTCCCGACGGTGCCCGACTGCCCCCCACAAACCCCGGCTGTGCCCTGCGCGGAAGCGCGGAACAGAGCTTGCTGCCCGTGCGAGGAGAGGCCCCGCCGGTTTGTAGTTGTTACTCTTCCTGTGCATCCAGGGCTCAAGTTACTATTTATATCTGACTTTCGCAGTAAAGGCGCTGCTATCTCCCGCCAGTTAAAGAGCGCGGGGAAAGGAAAGCGGGAGGCTGCTTTCAGTGCAATGTGCAGCCCGGGCAGGACCTGCCTCTGGGGCGGGGGGAATCTACAGTGAGAATAAAGACCCGGAAACGAGGGGACCCCGAAACTTTCCACTGCCTCGAGCAAGTGCCCGAGCTCAGGAAGGGCTGGAATTTACCTGGGAGAAGAGACTCGGGAATCCTTCTTCACGTCCTGGGTACGTATGAGAGGCAGCACGTCGGCGGCTGTCCCCAGCCCTCGGAGCACTCCCGCAGGTATCACGTCCCGCTTGGCTCGGCTCAATGCCCATTTCGTCCATCTGAAAGCACAAGGGAAGAGGAGAGCCGGTTATCGCAAGCCTGCAGGGCAGTAGCCAAACCAAATAGACTGAAGGAGCAAAAATCTTTGCCAGCTCCGAGATTTTTTTTTTTTTTTTTCTTTTTCCTCTCGCCCAATGTTTACTGTAAGGACACGAGGCCTTTAAGGAGCTATGCAATTCCCGCAGGGAATCCAACGGCTCTGCTTGCGGCCGGAGCCACGCGCGGGAGCGCGGGCGCTCAGCAGCTCCAAGCGCGGCGCGGGGCGCTGGCAGGAGGGCGCGCTCCGATACTCACTTTCTTTTGAACTCTGTCGCTACGTCCACCCTTACAGCATCCACCCCGAAGAAGGTCACAGAGCCGAGATAGAGCAGAGCTACGTGAACTAGTTTCATTCTGACTGGGCTCCTGCTGGAGGGAAAAGAGAAGAACCGTAAGCATGCTTGGTAATAGAAGTCAAGTAAGGACTGTCCTTTATTCCTGGTGATTCCGGAGAGCTCCTTTCCCCGCAGAGCCCCCAGGCTACAGGGGACTTTGTGTCTGATATGAACCAGAAGCTAATATTTGCTCAACAACTTATCGCAGAGTAAATAACAGAGCCTCCAAAGTTTACATTTGTCGAGAGTTTAGTTGCAGAGGCGGCTGAAAACCAACAGGATTTCCAGAATACCCCCCGCAGCTTGCACTAGGATTTAGCAAACCCATGAGATTAGAGAGAGCTTGCTATCGGACGCATCGTTTCCAAGCTCCAGCAAGTGTTTTGCTGCCGGGAAGTTTATTCCCTGATAGCTCCTCTTCCCACTTCACATGCAGAACCAGACAGTTCTGGATCTTATGTTGTAAACTGCAGCTAATGCCAAGAGGCAGTGCAAGACTCCACAGCATAACTCCAAGCTCTTCCAAATAGTCCAGATTTAGTAGATTTTTCCTTGCTTTTCACCTCCCCTAAATCTTTTGTTGTTGTCAAGGAGGTAAAAAAAATATTTCTTACCTGACAGTAAGGATAATCCACTGAGACAAACGTTTTTTTAGTAGCGATCCGAGCTTGCAGGGTTTCCTGAGGAGCGAGAACTCCTCCTTTGTGTGTGTGTGTGTGTGTGTGTGTGTGAAGTAATCACTACCGAGCTCTGCGCTGCACTCCTCGCTTTTATAGAGAGAGCAGCGCTGAGAAGTGGGTGGACCTTGGCGTGGCCGGGCAATTTTTCTTTTGGCACCCCCCACTCCCACATTTGAAGCGCTCCTTAAGCATTCTGACCTGGATTGGGGTCAACATTGGGGGTAAAAATAAGAGGATTATTGAAAATTACCTTAAACAACTCCCTTGGTATTTTGTTCATTATAACAGCAGCTTTTAGGATTCCGAGTCATGGCACAACTTGCAAAATCCGATGAGCCCCTTAGTCTGTTTTACTGGGGACGGACTTTTCAACTGCCGATATATAATTACGTTTAGACGATCTGTAGCATAATTTCTCATTCGAGACATCTTTGCTTCAGGTGGGTGTAAGCAGCGGAGTTGGAACCAGATTCAATCCCTTCCAAAAACCATTAAAATCCATCAAATATCAAAGTTCCAAAAATAAACCCATATTTGGACAACGTGAATTATAATGAGTAACTGGAATGCCAGCCTTCGTTACATAAGTAAAGAGGTGGCAAATCAGGCATCATTAATATTTATAACTCAACTTGGGTGCATTTTTTTGTCTAACAAAATGAATTTGATTTAATTGATCGATTCAAATAGATCACAATTCACATGGTTTTGGCAGGTGAAGGTTAGAGCTCGGTTCTGTGCCTTGGAACAGAGCAAGCGATATTGCTTTGGGGCAAACAGAGGGTCACTGAGACGCTTGGGGTTACGGGCGCCGGGAGGACCCGCCGTGCCTTGTGCTACTCCCGATCCGCAAACCTCCACGGATGTGAGTGCAGTTACTTCCCGGTCAGAAAGCTAAACCAGTGCAGGATCGGGGTCTCTAACAGCATTCTCTCGGCTGGCCAGCAGCAAAACCTTAGTCTGACCACCTTGTTCGATTTTTCACAGTCTTCAAAATCTTTGCTCCGTGATGCTTCAGAAATGCAGAGGTCCGGCTTCGCAGGGGGTGCTGGAAGCCAGCAGCGGATGGACCGTGCCTCCACTTACTTGTCACGATGCAAATTTGGCGAGACCGAGGGAAATACCCCGGGAGATCTGCGCCCTGGGGTGTCAGGGTCCCCTTGTCAGCGAGAGACACTCGACAGGAAGGAATGAGCTGGTGAAATGTTTCTGTCACATCTTGCCCCAAGCAAAGCGTTTCAAAAGTCAGGTGAGTATGTGCTCGTGACTGTGCCTTTCTAGATAACCTCGATGTATAACAACACCCCGGAGAGGTATGTGCAGGGGGATGACGGAAACTTTCCTGTGTACGGCTCACTCGGTCTAAGGTGCTCGCCCCTTCCCTCCCCACGCTCGCCAGTAGCAAGGCTTCTGGCCATCTGGAGGCTTCTGTCTCCGGCATTTATCTGTGCGGGACAGGCTGGCCCTGGAGCTGCCACCACCCGGCCGGCAGGGAGAACCGGCACTGCCCGTCGCTGCTCCCCATCGCATCCCCGGCTGGCCGCCCCTCTGCCCCAAGCCCCCTGCGCGGCTCCCGCGGGGCGAGGTCGTTCCCCCGGCCGTGAGCCGCCGCCGAGCCAGCCCGGCTCCGCTCTCCGCCGCACCTGCCCGGCCGAGCGCGGGCGGGACGCAGCGGCCCCGAAGCGCCGGCAGCCAGCGGGGCTGCCCAGGGCGGGGGGCGGCTGCCCCGAACTCGCCCTCCCTTGTCCCTTCCCGCCCGCCAGCTCGGGCAGCTCCGCGGAGCCGCAGCCCCGTTGCCCGCGCCAGGGACCTTGCTCCGGAGCAAAACCGCGAAGAGCGAGGGGCGATAGCGGGGAAAACTCAGGGAAGAAGAGATGGGAAAACAGATGGTCTAGAACGGGATCGTATCATGATTAGAGCTGCACGACTGCATTCGCCCGCGATGGCTGGATTTTAAAGACCTCATGAGGCAGCTCAAGGTCGTCCGAGTTCAAGCATGTCCTTGATTAGCAGAAGTTGAAACTGAATCTAAGTTCTTTTTTTTTTTCCGAATGAGACGGCAGGATTTTGTGTGATAAGCATTGTTTTGACTCAAATTAAGTCTCCCATTCCAGTAAAAAGAAAAAAAAAATCACACATTTCCTCAAATGCTGGAAAATCTCTCATTAAAATCCTTGGCTTAAACGGGAAGTGTATTTTGTATACTCTCAGCCAAACAATGTGGAAAAAAATCCTACACTGATTTAGGAATAGTAATAACAGTAGTAACACAATTCTCATGTGATTTCTGTACTGACTATAACTCCCATCTCAGTGATACAAAATTACTTCATTCAAATTAATGAGGTGGTAAACTGACACATAAATGATCAGTTTGTTGCTGATGTGATTTGTGAAAGGGCTTCAGCAGGTAAAGCTAGTTCAAATCTACCACAAAACGTGATGTTCTTTGTTCAGATGTTCATTTTGTTCTTCCTAAATACTTGCATTCTCATGCAGTTTGGAAATAAGCAATAGTCACTGAATTGGTACCTATGATGTAAGGGTGACCACTTTTTAAAAAAACTGATTCTATAAATAGGGATTTTTTTTCCCTTTTTTTTTTTAAAAAAAAACAAAAACAAAAACAAAAACAAACAAACCAGTTACACAGAATGTTCCATAGCAATATTATTCACCAGCTGAGTCTGAGGCAATGCCCAGCAATTCAGCAGGACCAGTCTGTGTTCTGAACTGCAGGGTCTCCTGGATCCTGCCTCATCCATTGTGGGAAACTGGCCTGGAGGAACAACCAGCTCTTGGACTTGTTTTCTGGTTATCTTGGGTGTGTCTTTCAACCTCTTGGTGTTGCCATATGTACAGAATATAGTGTACATTGTATCTGCTTGGACAGGGACCTTGTGCTGTTTATACAGCATTTTATGCAGGCTGAGATTTAATCCAAAAGAAAAGATCTAAAATCTGTGGGTATCAATGGGGAATTAGCGTGAGGCAAATATTCTGTGCTGATTATAGAAGAAAACTGTTGTTTGAAGCCAGTGCAAGTGCCTTTGCATGTTTCACTTTGGGTTTAAACAAATTGTACTGAATTCATATGCCAGGAGTATGAATAGGTTTGATTTTGTTTCAGGCTGCATGAAATCAGCAGGAAGATAATACTAATAGAAGAATGGCACCCCCTGAAGGATGTAAAACCTTGATCAAGCTCCGAACAGAAAAACCTTCCTATTAGTGCCTTGCACTCTGGCAGTTTTCTCTGTGCCAATGGCACAGTGATAGAGAGGTGATTCCATTTCTGGTAGTCCCCATGGAAGTGCTTTGCTGAGCCTTATATCTGACAGGTTTAAGCACACCAAACAAAGCCTCCTAAAATGGCTGTGTGTGGGGGGGTGTATTTGTAGGGGGAAACCTGGTCGGGTTCATGGCTGCTTCCCTGTTCTGACATGGGATGGGGTRACACTGGATAAAGAGACAGCAGGCAGAGTATGAATTTTCTGTTTCCTGAAGGAGTGAACTGTAAGAAGGTATTGGGAATGCTCACACCTTGGTGTTGGCAAGTACACAATGTATATGAGTGTGGCAATATTGTCCCTTGAGCACTTTCAGGCTCTTGGAGAGGCTGCAGCCTCCTGGTTCTTCATCGGCTAAGCCCATGACTGCTCTGCTCACTGGGTGCTTCTGGAGACCTATGCATTGGTGTCCTCTGTGAGCCTCTGCATCTCCTGTAAGGAGACAGGCTACTCTGCTGCAAGTGAGAGAATTATGTGTTGGTGATCTGGATGAACATCCAGTCCACTTTCATTAGAATTTAGGTGAACACTGTGTCTGCTCCACTTCCTCATTTGTCCTATAAGAATATAATACTGCTCTATACTTAAAGGAAGTTGCCCAGAGAAGTTGTGAATGCCACATCCATAGAACTATTCAGGGCCAGGTTGGATGGCTACTTAACTATTGAGATTTGTTAATGCACATTGAATCTTTTTATGAGTGCAGATATGTTAACTCTAAGGTCCCATTTCAGCTCCAAATTAAGTAATCTTTTAGAGCGTCTTTAAATTTTCCCTCCAGGTTTAGCTGTGCAGAACATTATTCCTTGCTTTTGTGAACTGTTCTTATGCCCTGCAACCAAAATGCCTATGCATGACTTAAGAAAGGTATTCCCATCTAACTCCTACCTAGAATAGGAACTGACTGACCCTAGAGTGTGTATCTCTCAAGAAGTATGCTCAATCTTTTCTATGTGTCTATTATACAATGTTCTTTACTCCTGAAGTTAATAAGGAAATGCATTAAGATTGGATTGCTTCAAAACAGCTAAATCATGAACTTGATGACTCCAAGGAGATGTCAACCTCTGCCCTCCACTGAGAACACACAAGTTTGAAGCTTCCTGACCAATTTCCATCTGGCTGATCAGCAACACACTGCATCAGTATGTCTAAGCTAAGAATTGTGTGTTTGGTGCAGAAATGTCTCTAAGACCACTGCTGGGTCCACTAATGGCTGTCTGCTGGGTCCCTTATCCTGTGGATCGTCAGGAGCAAATCCAGTTTGCTAAATTTTCACACCCAGCCCGGTAGTCACAACTGCTCCATCTCCTCGCTGGAGTGCAACCGAGGTCTGTGCTGGTTCTTCTCTGTGCCGTCCTGTCAAACGGGATGTACATGGAAGCTTATCACGATGTTTCAGGAGACTCCGCCAGCAACCCAAGCGCTGTACTGTCCCCTCATTTACCCCCAGCATCTCTGCGAATGCTGGCAAAACTCACCGTGCTTTCGAAGGCCATAGTCAAAAGGTGCCTGTCTCATCTACACGTTATAAATAGCACCACGACAGCTCCCGGCGCGGCCTCGCTGAGCGCCCCGGCGGCTGCCGCCCGTGCCCAGGCCAGCACGTCCGAGGCCGCGCGGGTCATGCCGAGGCACTGCCGGCCAGTGCCCCGCTAGGCTCGGCCCCGCCACCGCCACCCGCGGGGAGCAGCGGGGCCCGGCCAGCGCAGCCCCTCAGGGGCGCGCGCGCTGCTGTGAGGTGGGCCGGGGCCGAGA